ACGAACATTTCAAGACTAAGATAAGATAAATCCGTTCAGATGTTCTCGAGTTTTAGTGAGACTAAGGAACAGCAATCCATTTTTATATATATAGAAGATAGTTACAATGAAGCCTAACACACTTCTGACATCTGTGAATAAATATCTCTAAACTTTTAAATAATTAATGAGATCTAAGACTTTCAAGAGTATACATTTAAATGAAACTAATATTTTTAGGATTATACTACGCGTATTTTATTATTTTAAAACTACATACTCCGGACGTTTCCGAGATCATATCGTCTGCCCGTGATCAATATGATCGAGGTCGGCTGCCTGCAACTTCTCATCGCTTAAAAACTTTCTTCCTCTCAAATCCCACTTTACATTTAGAAATAAATTATAGATGGATAGGGTCGTGTCTGGACTGCAAGGTGGACGTTTCTCTTCTGTGAAGGAACATTGACGAACTGCTTCCTTCTACACACCAGTGGTATGAACAAGGGCGCTGTCATGGAGCAACAGGACACCTTTTGACAGCTTGCTTCTTTGTTTTTACTTCATCCTGTCTCATAATTTATATATTAAAGAAGTATCAACACAGTATCAATGTAGGTCTATGAATAAAATAGGTGCTGTAGAGTTATGACACACACTTGAAATAAGGTTATAGAGATATACTATTAACAATGATGTTGAAGATGACAAGACGATAAATAAAAAGAATCTCAATCAATAAAAAAATAACATATACCTATCTAATATATTGTGTAATTGTTGCACATGTTCGCAGAAGCTACCTTAAATTTGAGTTAGAAAACTGTTCGATTACTACATCTTAAGTCGTTTTTATTTAAAATGACAATATCTTTAGTTTAAGTAATATTGGCAATATATATTGCTATATTTGGTGAATGATCACAGCATGTTCGAGCTTCAGTACTGTGTACTATATTTCGTTAATGTTATATTACTCTAAATTTATAAGAATTTTTAAAACCTATGCTTTTATTTCATAGAATATCATGTAGTATTATTTAGCTTTGTCAGTTTTCAAATTTTAACAGACTAACTATGTATGTCTATCCAAAATGTCATCTACATACAAGGTAATCCAATGTTACGTTCACATATTTTAAGAACTAATTTTTTACGATCCTTCCAAACCTTTTATTGAAAATTTAAATTGAATCGAACTTTCTCGTTTTTGAATTGATTACTTTATATTTCATTTGAACAATAAGAAATTATATAAATTACCATTATCATACAAAAAATACATATACGTATGTATTATCAAAATCAAAAACAATTAATACTATACTAACCAATTTACTAGTATAGTTTAAATTAGTGCTTTTAGGTACGAAGTAAAGTGGTTGTTTGTGTACAACCTGCTGCACCAAATTGAGATCCGCTCGCAACTGTGTTGATTGATTAAAACATTATGAGCAATTGTAAAAGGGGTTGTCCATTAATCACGTGATCTTTTTTTAGCATTTTTTAACCCCCCCGCCCCCATTGGTGATACGTAGTGAGGTTTAAGACCACCCCCCCTCCCCCTTCTCAACATCACGTGTATTTTTAGTAGCTACAACGAATCTTAAAATTTCTGAATATTATCTTAATTTAAATACAGGTATAAACTATAATCTTATTTTATTCTGAAATTAAGGACCATAATAAAAATGTCTACACCAGGTTGCAAGTTTTTTTTAAATATTTGTTTAAAAATCGCGCGTTAGACGAAAAAATAAATACACGTGATATCTTACTACACCCCCCCTCCCCCTTGTGATATTTTCGTGATTTTTATCAAACCCCACCCCCCCCTTTCAAACCTCACGTGATTAATGGACAGCCCCTAACTGGCATGGCAGTCACAACTCACAGTCATACTCAGTACTGTGCCTGCACTCTCAAAGTTTCGTTTTCCAAGTCCAGGTCAGTAGTTTTATTACTGGAATCGAGATGTGAACCGAAATTATCGTGTTTAAATACAACACCAGTAAGTTTACGACTAAGAGGTGCCGTTCGTCGTTCTACTCTGTTAAAGCACTTCTTCCTGGGGCATTTGTGGCAATGTAAACAGCATCCAAATGAAAATCTTTAAAATGTTGTATAGCTGAAATTAATAGTAGATTTTGAAATGTGATGTCACGAAACTTAGGAGCCCTCCCACCCCTTGTCACACCATGTCACACTTTGTCGACCCCCTCCCCCCACTTTACGTGTGACGTACTTTATGGATGGCCCCTTTAGTGTTGTTGTTTCTTCATAGATACAATATTTCAAAATTCCGTTTTCGCGATGTCCAAGCTCCAGTAATGCTCGTCATTGGAGTAGAACATCCGATACTTGGAAACAAGATTTAAAACTATTGCGAAAACGGATGGAAATACAATAAATACTAGTACGTAACAATATGTGTGTCAAGATATATTATTAAAATAAATGTGATAACAAATGAGTTTATTACAGCAGTATTAACCCTTAAATGCGCGAATTTTGTAATCGTTTATAAATATATTATTCTAATCATATTAGGATCTATAGAGCAAAGGAAAAATGGTTAAAAATATATAGTATTGATATAAAGCTACTAAAAATACAAAAAAGTGTATGTTGCATATGTGCAACAGTGCGCAGTCATCGAATTATGCTATGTATGGAAAGAATGAGGTCATCAATAACAAACTCAAAATAGATACAAATTCAAAGTTCTTTTTTAATCACGGTGAAATTTTCAAAAACAATTATTGTCTGTTGTAACATAAGTTTACTCTACATTTTTCACACTAACTGAATGTATATCCCTTACAATTAGGGTATTTACATCTGGCCCGATCCCCCAATTTTTGTCAGTGATATATTGTGTCTTGTCGGATATCTTTCGGAGGCATAGTTTGAGCTGGTCCACACTTCTTTTTTAGTTGAAATTCAGCTTCTAAAGATGAACTGCTTGGGCAACCCCTTTTGGTAAAATTTCCTTTTTGGCCAAGATTGCATAAGGTATGGGCCAGCTCAAGTCTGTAATTGCACAGCTTCAATGGTTTTATGGAAGATTTGTTCAGTTTCAGAGATTTCTTGTACAATAGCCACGAATTTACGACTGTAACGTCCAGAAGATGGAAAAACAAGCGATTTGTCCACGTTCTGCTTTTGCGAGTAACATGGTACCTTCCGATAAAACTATCAAGGAGATCCACTCCTCCCATGTGGGTATTGTAGTCCTTTCTCACATTGGGGCAATCTATTGGAATCCGCTGTTTCGTCGTTTTATCATACCTCATAATTGTAGTCACAGGCAAGGCTCCAGTGTAGGTTGACATCAAAGTCACAGGCTTGTTGTCTTTCCATAAAACAGCGCTAATGTCGATACCATCTACATTGGCAACCTGTTCCTCATAGTATCCTCTTGGTACTGTTCGTTTCATCAGAGTTTTCTTATCCGGAAGCTTGTTATTAGGTATGCGATTCACCTGTATACTTCCTAAGCAATATATTCCTTCTTTTGCAAAGTAAGTGAGCAATGGCACCGATGTGTAATAGTTGTCGAAATAAATAATGTGGTTGACACGTCTTGGAACAATCCGAGTTAGACGCACAACGGTATTACCAGTTGGTCCCAAATCTTCATCACAATATTCTAAATCCGCTAATAACTGGCGATTATTCTCATAGTAAACTTCTTCATCTTGCTCTTCTTCTTCTGATAATTCCAAGTCATCCTCGGACAGATCCAGAGTTTGCAGGTATTCTTCGATGTCTCGGTTATTCAGCAATCTCGGCATGCTGTAAAAAGGCAAACAAAATTAGGTAAATTTTTCTAAATACATCACTACTGATCAAGTAAAAATTCGAATTTGTTTGAACGTAAATGCGCAATGTTGCACATACGACACAAACAGTTTGTTTGAAAAAAAACTTATCAAACTTTTGAATATATGGAAAATTATTATTTTCTGGTCTTCTTGATTAGTTATATTAGTGAAATATAAAAAAACAAAAGACACTTACCTTCGAAATTCGCATAAAAAACGACATAACACTACACACAAATTACTTTTTACAAATTCACGTGCCCGCGATTTTTAAATTAAAAAATTATGAAGTTTAAATTTTTGAAAATGAACCGTCACGTTAAATGTCAAAACGTTCATAATTTTTTCTATAATCTATGGCAGATTACGTTCAGAATCGTGTACATTAACTTGTCAAATTATTTTATTTTTCGGTTCGTTGCAGATATGCAACAAGGCGAATTTAAGGGTTAACACAAGCGTGATGTTTTATTGATACCGTAAAACGGGGTGTATAGAAATTGCGGGGTGAATAGAAAAAAAATCAGGAAAGTTTTTAATGTTATTATTTCAGTAGTTTTCGTTGAAGAATTTTAGTAGAATTTTAAATTTTAATACAGCAACATTTTTTCTTTGTGTTGGCAACAATTTTTAATTGCCAAAATTGAAATTTTCCCTTCAAATTAAATTCAAAGTCGACCATCTGTAAACGTGTTTTATTCAACTGCCGAAACTCTTGATTTTAGGTCTGAAAAAGTTGTGATTTGTGCTGTTTAATGTGTTTATCTCATAAGGTGTACGATAAATTATAAAAATACAGTGAAGGTAAGTGAGAATCCGTTATTAAACTTAAAAAAATTGTTAAAATCACAGTATGTGTAAATTTATTGTATAAAAGGGGTCAATAGAATCTATTGAAGGGTGAATAGAACTCTAGTATGGGTTTAATGGAAACCTAGTAGGGAATAATAGAAACGACTAATGTTTGAATAGCAACTAATGAGGGGTCAATAGAGATAAATGAATAGGGTTGTCAAAAACTGTTAATTGAACTTAATACTACTAATAATGTATGGAGCTGTAAATTTAATGATTGATAAATAAAAATATATTTTTAACGTGATTATTTTCATTTACAGATACATACCGCCGTATTCAACATGCCGCGTGTATATAAACCCGATCCTACAAAAAAAAAGGTATAAAAAATATAACATGGAGATCATAAAAAAAGCTGTGGAAGAGTATGCATCATCCCGAAATGTAAAATTAGAAGAAGTTGCAAAAAAATATGGTATACACAAATCGGTGTTATATCGTCATTGTACGCGGGATATGAAGCAACATGGAGGCCAAAGAGCTCTATCCGATGAAACTGATATGTTTCTAATAGAAAATATAAACAAATGCGCAGAATGGGGTTATCCCTTAGATACTTTGGATCTCAGGTACATAGTAAAAATGTATCTTGATAAGATAGGTATAATTCATAAAAGATTTAAAGACAATTTTCCAGGACCAGATTTTGTACAGAGCTTCCTATTAAGACACAAAAATGAGATTTCCCAAAGAGTTTGTGAAAATATCAAGCGTGTGAGAGCTAAGGTATCTCCAGATACGATTAAAGAATATTTTACAGAACTTGAGAAGTCTTTAAATGGTGTACCTGCTTCTAACATCTTAAATTACGACGAAACAAATTTGACGGACGACCCTGGGCGGAAAAAAATACTAATCAAACGGGGATGCAAGTACCCTGAAAGAGTTCTGAACCATACCAAGGCTTCCGTGTCTATTATGATGGCTGGTACCGCAGATGGTAAAATGTTACCACCATATGTGGTATACAAGGCAACTCATTTATAAATGTTTTTAAATTTGTTATTTTCTTTAATTCAAATAAAATACGAATAAGAAGTATACATTGTTTAATTTATTGAAAAGAGATAACATTCCGTAAAAATAAAGTCGTTTAAAATACAAACATACCTAATTATTTATGTTAACAAAAACACATAAATAGTTTAAATCACAAATTTTGAATTTCATTTACCATTTACATACCAAAATAATTTTTAAATACACGACCTTTCATTTTTGCATGTTGGTTAAGTAATTTTTGGCAGCCCTAACAGTTTTTCCATTCACCCCTTTATGCATTTCTATTGACCCCAGTCGTCGGGTGAATAGAAATGATACATATTTTATTAAAAATCTGAAAAACATTTGCTTATAGTTAACCAAATATTGTTTTAGCTGTTTCTTTGTGATACCGGACATGATATTAAAATAACCTGTGGTTTAAAAAAAAAGGAATAGACAACAAATTCTTAAGACAAAGTTGAAAATCATTGCTATTCACCCCGTTTTACGGTACCTCCTTTAAACATTTGACAGGTTTTGTTAATATAGAATATACTTTGGCGCAATTAAAATTTGGTTTAAGTATACATAATTGAATAGTTAGCCATAAAAACGTCAGTGTAAAGTTTACAAATTGATATTGTAAATATATAATTTTAGTAAAAATTACCAGATATCCAGAATCTTGAGCCTTTATGCTTGACGACCACATTTTTTCACAAATACAATTCCACATATAGTTAGTTATAGTTATAGTACTAAAGTTTAGTTTTACTCAATCCTTATAGTTTTAAAGGAGATTTATTTTTTCGTAATACTTCATTTAAAAAATCGTATATTTTGAATACGATTTTACGTACATGGTACAAGAGTCAAAAAGGTCGTATAAATACGATTTAAATCGTACGGTTGGCAACACTGGATGAAACTGTCATATAATTACCGTGTAAGAAAATAATGTATAGAAAATGCTGCCATCTAACGAACAAGTTAGAACAACTTTGACACTATTTTCCTTTATAACTTTATAGACGTCGTTAGTAGCTCTCAAATTGTTTTGACATTAGGACATATTTGAAATTATTTCAGTTGTTCATTTGCCATTGTTTACTGTTCTTCTTGTGCTGTACGTTCTTTTTTAAACATTTGACCCTGCTTAATATATCATTGACTCCTATTTCTACGCTTTTGACGATTGACCCCGGCTTTTCTCAATTGGACTTTGTTTTCTGCGACTACGATCGACCCCGGCTCTTCTCATTTGGATTTTGATTGCAAACTACGAATTTGCATTATCGATAAGTTGAAAAAATGCCACGAAAATCGGCTATTAAGTGTTATTTTCGGTGTGCGACTAAAGGTACGATACTTATTTAGTAAAATGTATAAAATTGTTATTTGTCATATATACAATCAATTACTACTCTTGTTACATCAATTTCAACCGTAACAGTTTATTGACTTCTAATAAAAACATTTCAGGTACTTTTCATCCATTTCCTAAACCTGAATACCCAAATTTGGAGAAATTCATTCAATGGAAAAATATTTTAAATGAAGACATGAAACAAAAGGAAGATTCTTACATTTATAACAACATAAGAATATGTGCTCGTCATTTTGAACAGTTTTACCGTTCTTCAAGTAAACGACTCACTCAAAATGCTGTACCAACTTTATACTTAAGTAAGTATCTAAAGTAAGCAACTTCCCAAGTAATTATAGACACAATACATACTACTAATATAAAATAACTATAAATAGTCAGTTATATTTTATAACTATAGATAATATTTTACATTATTATTATTTTACTTAAGAAATTGGTGCTCATAATTAAAAATTAAAAACAAAAAAATTGTTTTATTCAAATATAATGAAATAGGTATACAAGTCATCTTAACATTTTTATATACTTACATGTGGTTTGATAGATTTATAATGTGCAGTCTTTATTACCTTTTTTATCTAAATAAAGGAAAGTGCAAAATAACTACTTGTGTCACTTCTTTACATAGGTAAAACAAAAACAAAGTGTTCTAAATATGCAGAAATTATCATTTCACTGGATAACTACAAACCAAAAAAAGTTGTTTATAGCTTTTTATGTAATATAAGAATGGCAGTGTTTAATTCAGTAAAAATTACAAGTCTACTTACATTCAATCAGAAACTCTAAAAGAAACAAGGAAGGAAAATACAATCAAGACAATATGTTATCATTCAATTTTAAGATTTTTCATTTAACTTTTCTTTTAATATATTTATTTGTATTAAAAAATATATTTTATTTAGCAGCATCAACATTTGAGACTGTACGGTGTACACTCATCGCATTCTGTTGAAACTGAAAAATGTGTTGATACACAAAAAGAAGACAATGACGCATCTTATAGTCACAACTTGGATTTTAATATGAATCAAGTTCAGCTACAAAGGAGTTCTCCTAATTCCTCTCAATTATTTCCTAAAGGTAAGTTAGTTACGGGCATATAAATAAGCTTAAAATTAACTATGATTGCTATATTAACTTTTAAATTATAAAACAGCATAAAGCATTTTAAATACAATATAAATTTAAACCACAGATTCACTAGATTTGCAAGTATCGAGATTTATTTCATATTTTCTTCAAATATGTATATTTTTTGTCTTTTAATAAACATTAATCCCGGTTTTAGATAACCTGATTCCTTTTTAAGTAAATACAGATATAAACTCAGATGAGTGATCAGCATCTACATTTAAACCTAAGATGTTCAAAAATGTCTTCTCATCATTTAATTGATTATCTGAAATCCCTTATGACAACTATTAGTCCCGTCGTTAGAGATACTACTGTATACATAATTAAACATAACTAACTATATCAATATTTATAAAACATTCATTTCACTCCCTCGTCTCCTGCCAGCCGGCCGCGGTCTTTCTAGTTCCTCGTAATGGATGTCTTTTTCTAATGCTGATGCTTCATGGTGTTTTTTTTACATATATCTAATTATTATATTTTATATTATTGGCATTACTTACATTATAAGTTCTTATACTTATTGATTAACGTTTTTAGTTTTGTTTGATAATTAATTAGTGTTTATTTTATTGTGTAGTATGTGGTAGGAATTTTGAATTATTTCCTAAGCGTTACATACATTGGGCGCAGGGTTTTTTAACGTTATCGTTTCGATGGCTTCCTTTTTTTTATTTTAACTATTATCTTTACAATTTTCGGCCACGCCCTAAAATGTGACTTCTTAAAGTAAGTTGGTAAGTTTGTTAACAATTAATGTATTGTCTTTATATAAAATAGTATTATTTGTAACGTTCCAGGACTCGTGAGAATATATAATTCAAGATGAGGGTCGAAGCTGTTGGTGGAGCGTCTGTTAGGACGTGGTCTGCGGACGAGAGGAAACCTTCTATGAAGAGAAGTGTATGTAGCTGATGTACGATAGTAGTGTGACGGTATGTACTGTTGAATATTTAATATTATTCTGTTATTATTTATAGTAAGGGTGAATCATTGTTTATGTTCATTTATTCAATATTTAGATAATTTTCTTACATTAACTGAATGCTTCCGACGCGTCGTAATGATTAAACAATTAAACGAAAGATTGTAATTATAATAGTAACTGTCTCTTGCCCGCGGCTCCGTCCGCGTGTACATCACAGTTGTTCTCTGTCACTAGTGCCACTGAACCTGAACTGCTTCCACTTCATGGTTCAACTCGTGTAGTATTGGGATTGGGGTCCGGATTGTGTCAACTGGTAATCGGGATAAAAAGAAGACCAAGTCCTTTTCCTGGGCTTCATTTATATCCATACTAAAATTCATCAAAAACGGTTCAGCGGTTTAAGAATGAAAACTTAACAAACAAACAGAAAGTTACTTTCGTATTTATAATATTAGTAGGGATTTGATAATCATTATAATCACTAACAGTCATTATGTTATTAATAAAGGTTTACAAAACAAAACCATCTGTAGTTAGCGGAATTAATGAGTTGAAAATAAATAAATGATTAATAAAATAAAAACACTTATATTTTGTTAATCATTAATTTATATTCAACTGAATGCATAATCATTACAAATATGCTACTTTTTAGTTTGGTATTTTATAAGAAAGTGTTTTTGTAATTTTTTTAAAACATTTTATAATTTATTTTAAAGCCATCCTTGAAGTAAGTGTCTTTGTATGTCTTTATATAAGAACAATATTGTATTATGTATTACAGATGGTGTTATTGGACTGTACTTGAGATTCATCCATCAGGAGATGACGGCTGATCATCAAGTGTTAGATGAAAACTAACAATGAACACAGCCGGCCTAGCAGCACATCTCCAACTTGTCTGCTACTTATTTTTTTTATATTGAATTTAGACTTGTAAAACAATATCTTTAACAGTTACTGTACAAGTTTTATATATAATTTCTTTTGAATCATAATATTTTATTTAATCCAATCTACTTGATATATGTACTTCTCTGATACGATTCAATTACTTTATTGTTATTTATAATCTGATAAAACATTGCTCATCTTAAATGTTTTATTTCTCTATGTACTAATTATGCTTATCATACTTTTTTCTCTAGAATAATTACTTTTTAAAAGAATAGTATCTGTTATGCCACTAGAGGGGGCTAAAAGTGTTTGTTATAATAGATTTACCTTGAACTGTTTTCATTTATAATATTTATATAAACCGCATTTATCATAAAAAAAATTATTATTGTTGAATTGAAATGAATTATAGTTATTGTGAATGTATTGTATTGTCTTCGATTTTGATTAAGCAGTAATACTTGTACTTGTTAAGCTTATATATATGAAGATAAAAACACTTTGGGACTCCGTATATACATCCTTCAAATGAGTTTGTTATAAACTAAAAACATAATATAACATGAGTAAATATAATATTCAAATTCAAAGTCTTAAGCTATCAATTAAATACTATTGTGTGTGTATATAATGTGACTCATATGATGTATT